TGTGTTCGGTCGGGTTCGGTTCGGGTAGTCCTCCAACTGCTCTCTAGGCGTCTTTTCCGGCGTTTCATCTCTCTCAGCTCCTCGGTAAACCAAGGCGCCAATTGAGATCTACGTCGGGTCAGAGGCCGCAACGGCACGACTCGGTCCAGTGCTGCGGCTGCGGCCACATCCCAGGCCGCAGCCTGATCTTCCGCCGAGTTGTGACCTAGATCCTCCGGATATGGCCCAAGCTCCGTCAGAAACCTCTCCGGGTCCATCAGGCGCCTGGGACGGAACCATCTAGGCGGTTCCGTCTCCCTGCGGCGGGGGGAAGCGGTCCGGAAGTCCATCCTAAGGAGTGCATGATCTGACCATGACAAGGGCTCTATATTTATCTCCCCCATTTCCAAATTATAATTATAAATTATAAGAACCGAGGTGGCACAGTGATTAGAATGCAGTATTGCAGACCGACTCTGCTCACACTGCCAGGAGTTCGAGTCTTTCAATCCTGACCAGCTCAAGGTTAATTCAGGCTTCCATCCTTCCAAGGTCAGTAAAATGAAAACCCAGATTGTTGGGGGCAATAGGCTGATTCTGTAAACCACTTAGATAGGGCTGTAAAGCATTATGAAGCAATATGTATGTCAAACTTGACTCAACTCCATAGTCGCCTACACCTGCTTTCGCTTGCAGTTTGCCAAACAGTGACGGAGGGAGGGTGGTGAATTCCTAAGGGGGGACGGCTATGGAATGCAAGAGAGCCTTCTGTTGCTGGAGAGACGTTATCTATCAAGGTCAAGTTATGAAGAATGTTTGACCGGCGCAGACAGTTTTTCCAAAACCAAAAGAACTGAACTCATTTAGTGAACTGTGAACTGTGGGTGGCCCAAAGGGAAAAAAGGGGGTTTTACCTACTGTATATGAGTTTTTGTGGGAAAATCCCAGAACTGACTTTGCTTCTGCTGTGCCTAGATAGATCTTTCAATAAAGCTACACTCTTGGTCAATCTAAATTGCTGGGAGTTTCTTTTGTTGAATGTGCCAAATGGGACAGTAGGCTTAGATCAGGGCTTTTCAACCTTTTCACCCATTGTACCACTTTTAGGATATGGCAGTATCCGAGTACCACCAGTCGCCTAGCAAGGTGTCAAAAACTTGGTGACCCCCCCCAAAAGGAAAAAAATGATGAAGTACAGGGAGTCCTCGACTTACAACAGTTCGCTTAGTGACTGTTCTAAGTTACAAAGGCACTGAAAAAAGTGCCCCCCAAGCCACAGCCGAGCAAGACACCTGCCTGCCCGCCCGGCGGCGCTCTTCCTCCTATCCGAGGTTTTCATTGTTGTGAGCATTTCTGTTGAGGATTGGCAGCGGGGGTGGGGTGGGGGGGTATTGGTTTTTATTCCCCCCCGTCTGCTGGGTGGTTGCAGCAGGTTTTGGTTACTTCACATGATCCTGGGACACTGTGACCATCATAAATATGAATCAGTTGCCAAGCATCTGAAAGTAAATCACAAGACCCTGGAGATACTGCAACATTCTAGCTGATCGGCACTGCTTCTGGGCTCAGCAGAAGCGCCAGGATCAGTGCTGAGCTACAGCTGGAGCCTAGCACTAATCCTGGTGCTTCCACTGAGCCCTGACAGCCCTGCAGCTCCAACCATCTCTTGCTCAGGCTGGTGCGGTGCTGCCACCAGTTCAGCTCATTCCCCTCCCCTGCTACCACTTTTCTAGGATGGCCGCGTACCACCTGTCAGGTGCCAATGTACCACAGGTGGTACCCGTACCACTGGTTGAAAAGCCTTGGCTTAGATAAGTCTAAGTGCTATTGCCAGGGCTTTTTTCCTCATAGAATGCCCAGAATGGAGTTCTGGCACCTTTTTTGGATGGAACCTTGTAGGGTAGGCAAGGTGGGTTGTATGACATGTGTGAGTTCCGGCACCATATTTTTTTTTTTTTTTAGAAAAACAGCACTGGCCATTGCTATTGCTATTTTCATATCTTTAGTGTTCGAATATCCCTGCTTGACTTTCTTGTAATATAAGTTGGGCGACAGCAAAACTTTGAGAAGCTTTCAAGATTGCAGCCAGCCCACTGAGGGAAGAAAGGCAAGAATTTGCAAAGATTCCAGAAATGCTACTTTATTAATGTACAAGAACAGAATCTTTAAAGCTTGTCCAAGTGACCTATCTCAGTGTTTATCCAGTTCATGGAATGATTATAGATTGTCTGCAAGTGACTTCAGAAATAAATAAATCTGAAACTTTCACTTTGTGAGTCAGTTCACCCATAGCACACATCTAAGGGGGGGGGGTGTTGTGTTTTTTTTAAAAAAAGATCATTTTTTTTCTAATTTTCTAAGATTTTTCTGTCTAAACGTACCCATTTTCTCTTCCATTCCAGCTTCATTCTTTCCTTCAAAATTCTCAGTTTTACAATAATTCCATCGGAGTGTTATATCTGGATGAGAATGGAGAGCTGGTGGCAGATCTGGATATGGTAAACTGGTTGATTTTCACCAATATGTCTGTTTTCCCAGTGAAATGTGGGAGTCTAGAAAGACAGGGATGCTTGGATTTCAAGTTCATGGTCAACCAGAAAGCTATTACAAGCATGGAAGTGCTGAATAAGGTACAAGAATGACTTTATTCTGCTCTTCCTGAAGCTCTCACTAGGAGAATTCAAGTGATGGGCTTCATATGCCATCTCACTTCTCCAAGAGAGGCAGCATATTTTTGGTTAGATGTTCAGCTGTCTATAAACAATCGTATCCTTAATTATTCAAGGGAAGTTGAATAGAGCTGCTGTCTCTCCCATCCCCAATATTGGTTATAATTGTTTTTATTGTTGTTGTGAGCCATGCAGAGTAATAGACATCAAGGTGAGAGGCTGTACAAATCAGAAGGAATGAAAAAGAGAGAAAAAACATTAGTCATGTACAAAGTCATGTAAAAATTTGATCCATGGGGCAGAATTTCACAAACCAAAGAATCCATCTGACCTTCTTTTGTATCATTTACTGTTTAAATTTAGATTCTAAACTAAAAATTGTAGTGCATAAGAATTAGGAGAGAAGATTAAAAAGGAAGCAATGTTCAGCCAAATAAGTTTAATGAGATCCAAATTTCTTATGTAGCAAAATAAAATTGGAACCACAGATTTCCAACCTAATAATAATAATAAAGTTGGAAGGGACCTTGGAGGTCATCGAGTCCAACCCCTGCTCAGGCAGGAAACCCTACACCATTTTGGACAAATGGCTGTCCAGTCTCTTCTTAAAAACTTCCAGTGTTGGAGCATTCACCGCTTCTGGAGGCAAGTTGTTCCATTGGTTAATTGTTCTAACTGTCAGGAAGTTTCTCCTTAGTTCTAGGTTGCTTCTCTCCTTGATTAGTTTCCATCCATTGCTTCTTGTCCTGCTTTCAGGCGCCTTGGAGAATAGCTCGACTCCCTCTTCTTTGTGGCAGCCCCTGAGATATTGGAACACTGCTATCGTGTCCCCCCTCGTCCTTCTCTTCGTTAAACTAGACATACCCAATTCCAGCAACCATTCCTTATATGTTTTAGCCTCCAGTCCCCTAATCATCTTTGTTGCTCTTCTCTGTACTCTTTCCTTTTCTTAACAAAAAACCATGATTCATTTTCTGCATCTCTTTTCAGCCACTGCCTCCTTCCAGGTGTGTGCAAAGCTGTCATCCTGGATTCATGAAGGTGGCTCAGGAAGGGAGGCCCATCTGCTGCTATGACTGTCGTCCTTGTGCAGAAGGAACCATCTCTATCATGGAAGGTGGGTAACACAAGAGGAAAGAGACAGATGTTTGAGAAAAGCATAGCCACCAACATTTTTGTATAAAAGGGCATTTTTTTAGGTTTGGCTTTTAAAAATATATTTCTTTTTAATAGGTATATTTACTTATAAAATAACTTATAAGAAATTATCTTGGAGGCTCAACAGGGGTAAGATATTTAAAGATATAAGACAAGCATTACGAGAAAGAGAGATGGCTCTTTTACAATGCCCCTCTCATGTTTCAAATTTTTATATAAAGACCTTGATTGTGTCTTTGGAAGATGGTTGATTGCAAAACATCCATGTCTGGAGGGCACCATTGTTGAGCAGCCATTGGTCATGATTTCAGAATTCCTCCAAAACTAAGAGGCAGGTAAATGTCTTGTATGCTTTCACAACCCAGCAACTTCTTTCTATCCCTCTTCCATTGTCTACTCCTCCTTGTTTTAGGAGAATGAGAGGGAAAGGGAGATCATGTCAGCACAGAGCTAACATTCTTCTTCCTTTCATGGGATTGTGGTCCACTTTCTCTTTGCAAAACAATCATGGTATATTCAACACTTATCCAACTCATCATCTTCCAAAAATTATTGCACCATGACAAATTAGTGTTCTCCCTTGTCTGCTGATAAAAGCTGTATGATGTTGTCCTTCATTTCTTTCTAGAAAGGATTTCATTGGCCCCCTGATGCAGGGGACCACAATTTCAGCAATGGAATTATAATATTGTGGATTTCCTTCCTTCCTTCCTTCCTTCCTTCCTTCCTTCCTTCCTTCCTTCCTTCCTTCCTTCCTTCCTTCCTTCCTTCCTTCCTTCCTCTCTATAACTTCATTGATGAAAGGGGGATATTAAAAATACTTATTTATTTATTAAATTTCTATTCTGCCCATCTCTCTAACAGGAAAGGAAAGAAAATGAAAAGAAAGAAAAGAAAAATGAAATGAAGAAATTAAGTTTCTTCTTACAGCTGCAGCAAAATGAAGAAGCATAATAGCTTCATCTGTACACAATCAGCTACATGAATAATTTTACCCAATCAATGCATTTGATTGTACCATGGTAGTGCATTGGTTGGAATGCAGTATTGCAGGCTGACTTTGCTCACTGCAAGGAGTTCGATTCTGACCAGTTCAAAGTTGATTAAGCTTTCCATCCTTCCAAGGTCGATAAAATGAGGGCCTAGATTATTAAGGGCAATATGCTGACTCTGTAAACTGCTTAGAGAGTGAAGTGGTATATAAGTCTACGTGCTATTGCTATTGCTATTAAAATACATGTTTTCCTACTCTTGATCTTTTCAGATGCACAAAAATGCACCAAGTGTGTAGAAGATCAGCATCCAAACATCAAACGTGTTCACTGTATTCCCAAAATTATAAACTACCTTTCTTACAAAGAAACTCTGGGAATCATTTTGGCTTCCCTTGCCTTGTTCATGTTTTTAATCACAGGCTTTGTTTTGGCAATCTTCATTAAATTCCTGGAAACTCCAATAATCAAAGCCAACAATCGGGATCTCTCCTATATCCTCCTGGTCTCCCTTCTGCTTTCAATTTTAACCTCCTTCCTCTTCATTGACCAGCCAACAAAACAAACCTGCCTTCTCCGACAAACAGTTTTCAGCACCATCTTCTCCATTGCCATTTCTTCAATCTTGGCCAAAACAATCACAGTGGTGTTAGCCTTCTTGGCCACTAAACCAGGAAATAAAGTGCAGAGATGGCTGGGGAAGAGCCTGGCCAACTCCATTATACTTTTTTGTTCTGGTATCCAAGTTATCCTCTGCAGCATCTGGTTGGGGACTTCTCCCCCTTTCCCTTATGCTGATATGCATTCTCAGTCTGGAGAGATCCTTCTGCAGTGCAATGAAGGAAATGTTGCCATGTTTTACTCTGCCCTTGGTTACATGGGCTTCCTGGCTGCCATCTGCTTCACAGTAGCTTTCCTGGCCAGGAATTTGCCTGGGGCTTTCAACGAAGCCAAGCTAATCACCTTCAGCATGTTGGTCTTCTGCAGCGTCTGGGTCTCCTTTGTGCCCACCTACCTGAGTACCAAGGGGAAGTACATGGTAGCTGTGCAAGTCTTCTCCATCTTGGCCTCCAATGCTGGGCTGGTGAGCTTTATATTTTTCCCCAAGTGCTACATTATTTATCTAAGACCAGAGCTGAATACAAAAGAACATGTGATGTCAAAATAACACAGTAAAATGAATGCTGCATAGGTGGTTCCTAAACATGTCAGTTTCTAATTCTAACAGCATTTGATACGTTAAAAAAAAAAACCTCATTTCAACTCCATCATTTTTTTTGTCCATTTTTGTCCCTTCCCTTTATTTGCTATTATTTTATTATAAGATATAAGTGAGGGGTCCTTGGTGCTCCCTGAGCTTGTTTGTTTTCTTGCAGATGTTTCATTATCCTAACTACTGTGTTTTCCCGAAATTAAGCCCCCTGAAAGTAAGTCCTAATTTGGGGTGAGGGCGGGGTGGGGGTGAAGTTGCCCCACACCTCATATTTGCTTATCTTACTGGTAGGACTGCTGCAGCCAGGCCTCCCACGCTGTTGCCATTGCTCATGGCAGGATGCTGAGTGGTACTTCAGGCTGCTTCTGCTGCTTGTGGCAGGATGCCGCATGATGCTTTGTTCCATTTCCACCACTCACCACAAGCGATGGCACGAGCTTGCCACAAGTGACATGTGACAGCAATGGCCCGCGGCTTCTTGCTGCAAGAGGCATCATACCATGATCAACAGCAATGGTGTGAAATGCCACGTGATTTGACAAGTGTTGGTGCATGGGAGGTCTGGCAGTGGCGGTTCTACCAGTAAGGTAAGTGGGTGTGGGGCATATGGGGCAGCTTCACCCCCCCACCCATTAGTGGCAACAGCGCAATGTGTCACATGGTGTCCAGCTGCAAGTGGCAGCAAGCAGAAGCTGAAGAAGTCATTCAGCAGGGTGACAGATGTCGAGGTGTGGGAGACCTGTCTGTGGTGGTCCTAAGGTAAGATACCCAGAGAATTCCCATCACTCCTAAGCAATTGAAAACATGGATGTTTAGTGTGCTTAGATTTCAGCTGATGCCAGAGTAGACTGGCAGCAATAATAGCAAAAGCAACAGAGACTTATATACCATGTCATAGTGCTTTAGAGCAGGGCTTTTCAACCAGTGGTACGGGTACCACCTGTGGTACATTGGCACCTGGCAGGTGGTACGCGACCATCCTAGAAAAGTAGTGGGGGAGGGGAATGAGCTGAACTGGTGGCAGCACCGCACAAGCCTGAGCGAGAGATGGCTGGAGCTGCAGGCCTGTCAGGGCTCAGTGGAAGCGCCAGGATCAGCGCCAGGCTCCAGTTGGAGCTCAGTGCTGATCCTGGTGCTTCTGCTGAGCCCTGAAGAAGCACCAATCAGCTGCCAATCCTCAACAGAAATGCTCACAACAATGAAAACCTCAGAGAGGAGGAAGAACACCGCCGGGTGGGCAGGCAGGTGTCTTGCTCGGCTGTGGCTTGGGGGCACTTTTTTCAGTGCCGTTGTAACTTCGAACAGTCACTAAGCGAACTGTTGTAAGTTGTGGACTACCTGTACTTTATCAAGTTTTTGACAGCTTGCTAGGTGACTGGTGGTACTTGGATGTTGCCATATCCTAAAAGTGGTACAATGGGTGAAAAGGTTGAAAAGCCCTGGACTAGAAGACCTCCAAGGTCCCTTCCAGCTCTGTTCTAAGGATGAGATAGACACAAGGTTAGATCTTTTCAGCTCAAATTTATTGTTATTGGATTGGGAAGAGAAGGAAGTTTTTCTGCGACTTAGGGAATCCCTGAGTGAATTCACAACTTAAGTGATATAATTGTAATAGAAATCACTAAATGGTTCAATGATGAGAAAGTAGACTTCTCTAAAGAAATAAACCAAATTTACAGAATAAACTCAGCATATGCAGTCGGAAGACAATTGCCAAGACATGCTATGATTCAACTTATAAGAAAATCTATTAAAGAGTAGGTAATTCAGAAACATTACCATCAGAAATTTAACATTTCTGGAAAAGAGGTGCAAATATTCAGAGAAATTCCAATTACAATATTAAGGAAACACAAAGAATATTTTTTTCTGACCGATCTAAAACAAAATAATATTCCCTTTTGCTTGGTTAAGCTGGAAGGAGTTATTTTTACCTTTATAATCAACAGTATAGACTAAATTCAGTCCTTAAAGCACAAGACTTTTAGGAAAAACATGGATGGGAACTACACTATTTTTCAAAAGATAAAGATCAACTATCACAAGAATTAGTTCTGAAAGAAAAAGATAAAAAGTCTGACACTGATCCAGGACAGGTTGTGGAGAAGGGAGCCTCAGCTGGAATTCCTCAAACTTCCTCTTCATAACAAATGGGTTGCAAGATTCTGACATGGAATGTTAATGGGGCCAATTCCCCACAAAAGAGAAAAAAAGTTATTTCATTATTTGAATAAAGTGAACCATGATATAATATCATGCAAGAAACTCATATTAAAGAGACTGACAAAAAGTAATTAACAAATAACAGCTTGGGTCTGGAATTTATTTCTGCTAATTCTAAGAAAAAAATTAATGGGATAGGTTTGTATATTAAACCCCAATTACAGCCACATTTATTGTTTGTTGATGATCAAGGCAGATGAGTAATTGTACAAATTGAATTAGAGGTTATAAAATCTGTTGCGGTGGGATTATACACCCCAAACCAAGAAAAAGCCAAATTTATTAAACATTTCTCTCAACACTTACTCTTCTATTCTTTTCAGTATTGGTGTGTAATTGGGGACTACAATGCGGCAGTAACCCCAACAACTAGACCAGGGGTGTCAAACTCAATTTCATTGAGGGCCGCATCAGCATTGTGGTTTCCCTTGGGGGGCTGGGGGTGTGTGGCCAGGGTGGGTGTGGCCTACTGGGTGGGCATGGATGTAGTGGGTGTGGCCTACTGGGTGGGCATGGCCAGCTCTACATCGTTTGCATCAAGGATGCATGTGGGGGCCTGGGTAGGAGTGGGACAGATCTGAGGGTCTCTGGCAGAAGGGGGTGGGGCCGGGGCAAGCACCAAGGCATGGTCCATTTCTTCATTCCTCACAAAGGGTGACACCTCCCCAGCATGCATGCAGGGGGTGGGGCCAACATGACAGGGGCTGGTTCCTGGCTGTTTCTGGACGGCCTTGTGGAGCTAAGACTGAATGTGTTTCAGCATAGATGGCCACCACAAAATTGTACATTGGCTCCCAGCCGGCCTGGGCCAGGGCCAAGACAGCGGGGGCCATTCCCTCACTGTTTCCAGGATGGCTTTGTGGGCCACATGAAACCACTTTGCGGGCCGCATCAAACCCCCGGGCCTTGTGTTTGACATGTCTGAACTAGACAGATCAGCTGATAAAGAAATTTTAAAAACACAAGGAAAACTGCCTCAAACGTTTTTTCCAGCTGACTGATACTTTAGGTTTGATTGATGTTTGGAGATGTAAAAATGGACTAACAAAAGACTTTACCTTCTTTTCAGAGAGAAACAACTCCTTTTGTAGAATCAATATGATTTGGATTACAAAAAATCTACTTCACAAAAAAACTAAAGTTATTATTCTTCCAAAAACTTTTTTCTGACCATAATCCAGTGTGTTTACATCTTAAATTTGGTCCTCAGTTTTTAAATGGAGATTAAATGAGTCTGTTTTGCAGTGACCACAGATTGTTAAAAAATGTAAACAGGTACTTCAAGAATATTTCAATAATAATTTAGGTAAGGAAACCAATCTGACAACAGTTTGGGATGCTTCTAAGGCTGTGGCACAAGGACATTTTATACAATATAATACAGTAATTAAGAGGAATAATAATAATAATAATAATAATAATAATAATAATAATAATAATAATAATAATAATAATAATAATAATGATAATGATAAAGTTGGAAGGGACCTTGGAGGTCATCGAGTCCAACCCCCTGCTCAGGCAGGAAACCCTATACCATAAAATGTTTTATAAGAAATTAAATTGAAGGAGAAGGAACTCCAGAATTCACCAGAAGATTCTAATATACTTAATGAACTAAAATTATTGCAACCACACATTTCTTTATTGACTGCTTCAGATATTGAAAGGAAACTTAAATATATGAAACAATACTTTTTTGAACATGCCATAAACTAGGCAGATGGTTGGCATACAAACTAATAAAATGGACAGAAAAGAAGATAGTAACTAAGTGTCAAGAGGGAAAAAGACTTACATGGATAAACAAAAATATTCAAAGACTTTTTTGGAATTATTCTATCAATTTATGTAAAAAACATCTTTAGACAGTATGGAGGATTATATATCGGACTCGATGACCTCCAAGGTCCCTTCCAACTTTATTATTATTATTATTATTATTATTATTATTATTATTATTATTATTATTATTATTATTATTATTATTATTATTATTAAAAATCTTCCTAAACTGTCGGAAAACTACAAGCAAATTTTTGAACCACAATAATAACTTTTGAAATAATAGAGCTATTATTTGCCTTTTTAAGAGGCAAAGCTCCAGGACCAGATGGTTTACCAAGTGGACTTTACCAAATTTTTGAAGATCAATTACTTCTTCGAATGAAGGACTTAATGAATTCTATTCTACAGGGGAATCCTATGTTGGACTCTTGGAAGGATGCCTACATTTCTTTAATAGCCATAGCAAAAGCCAGACTTATATACTGCTTCACAGTGCTTTACAGCCCTTTCTAAGCAGTTTACAGAGTCAACATATTGCCCCCAACAAGCTGAGTCCTCATTTTAGTGACTTCAGAAGGATGGAAGGCTGAGTCAACCTTGAGCCAATGACAATCAAGCTCCTGGAGTGAGCAGTGAGTTAGCCTGCAGTACTGCATTCTGACCACTGTGCCACCATGGCTCTAAAATACCTAAAGATGGACTGGATTTAATTTCTGTGAAGAATTACAGGTCAATTTCTCTCCTTAATAACGACTACAAACTCTACATCTTAGTTAAAAGACTTAAAGTTTTACAGGATTATATACATGAAGACCAATGTATTTTTTTTTACCTAAAAGACAATTAAAAGATAATGTAAGAGTAATTTTGAATAAAATTGAATGTTTACAATGTAGACAGGTTGCATTAAACTTCACAGGACATGAAAGGAACACCCAAATGGGTGTCCCCAAGGTGATGGTGATATCACTGGTAACTCCTTTAACTACATAAGCACTTTGGTGCTTCTGGCACAGAAAAAATGAGTCTGGTTATGGAGAATAAACTTTGTTTTATTGCCATTCTTGAAATAATTCCTTTCTCTTTCTTTTTCCAAACTCCTGCTTCATGAGTTACTGTTTGGTGCCTTCTTTATGTCTTCTTCTTCTTCAGGTGCTGGTCCCCACATTTGTCTGTTTCAAAATAGGGACTAATTACTCATCTCTAAATAAGATTCACAGGTTGCTATAGATCAGTGGTGGTGAACCTATGGCATGCATGCCAGAGGTGGCACTCAGAGCCCTCTCTGTGGGCACGCGTGCCATGCCCCAGAGATGGCAACCGTCCTCTTCAACCAGCTGCCTGCTAACTTGCCGAGGTCACATATGTCTGGATGCATCCCAGCACCCATGCACTTGCTGGTCTCTGTGTGCGGGGGCCAATGGTGTCAGGCAGCAGCTGCCCTGGCCCCTGCCTCGCCTTGCCCTGCGACAATGGCACCCCGCCCTGCCTCGCCTTGCCTCACCTCACCCTGCAGGACAAGCCTCCTGCCCACCACTCCACCCACCAAAGACCCCCTGGATCTCCCCAACCTTGCCTGGCCCCCACAGGCATCCCTCCCCAGGAACAACATCAAGCTGGCCACGCCCACCCATCTGCCATGACCACTGTAGCCACGCTCACCCAGCTGGCCATGCCCACCCGGCACCCGGCGATACATAAGTGGTTTTGGGTTGCAATTTGGGCACTCATTCTCTAAAAGGTTCGCCATCACTGCTATAGATCTATCTGTAAATTCTCCTAGGTAAAAAGCCCAAGTAAATCCATATTAAGTGCCACTCTTTGTGGCCATGCTAAATGTCTCTCTTTATTCTGGGTTTTCTAAAGGTGTTTTACTAAAAAAAAAGATTTGGGCCAAATTCTCCAGTCTCCCTCACTGGCCCATTTTCAAAGTTTGAAGCCACTAGTTCTCCCTGATACCGGGTTCAGAGAGCTGAAAGTTCTCTTCCATTCAATTATCCAAATAATAGTGATTTATTTGTTGTCTTAGTGTTAGGACCCTAGAGAGTTTCTGGAAACTTCCCCCCAAAAAAATATTAACACAAACATGTCAGAATATATTGTAGTGTCAATATCAGACCCCCAAACCAGCGTTGGCTATATACAAAAAGAGAATCTAATGATAGTTTTAGATTAAGCAGAATCTCTGTTGATGTCTCTTTGCTGACTCTGCCTTGATCTGAAGCTTCTAACAGAAATAACAGAACAACAGCGTTGGAAGGGACCTTGGAGGTATTCTAGTCCAACTCCCTGCAAAAGCAGGAGACCCTTGATTTTGGTTTTTTCCACCTCTTATTTTTCTCTTAAAAAGCAGGTGACACAGAAAAACCTCAGTCAAGAACACAATTCATGTTGCTGCTCCTCCTCTTCATGCTGATTCTGTGGCCCTGGAGATCTGGTGGGATGCACAAAGCCATATGCCTCCTGACTCTGCAGCAGGGTGAAGTGGACCCAGATCATCATTACAAGCCAGGAGATTATGTGATTAGTGGCATAGTCTCTGCAATGCAGGCTAGATTTCAACCATTAAGCTTCAGTAGAAGTCCCTCCACAAATTTCTCCACGTAAGTCAATCCTTGCACTGCATTATAGCCACTTCAATAAAGGTGTACAGGTCCCACCCTTCAAAAACATATTGTCAATCTCTGATTTGCTCTTTCCTGATTTGATTCTATTTTGGGGTTAAGTGATTCTATTAAGTAATAGAAGGGATACGTGCAGTGCTTTTTTTGTAAGAAAAAAGGTGCCAGAATTCACATCTTGTTAATCTTTTATTTAAAAAATTATATATTCAGTTCTTAATATAAATTTAATTTATTGTATTTAAGGCAAATGTTCATAGTAAATTTTACACTAAAAATAAAAAAAAAATATTTTCAATTCACCAACGATTTTTAAAAATAAAGAAATTATTTACTTTTCACACGTAGTCAATCATTGTACACACACCCACACACGTCAGTTGTGTAATGAAACATAACGGTTGCCGCCCCCAGTAAGCACTCAGCACATGATCACACGACCAATCACAAGCCGAGCAGTGCCACAAGTCTAGCAGCGCCATCACAACCAGCATGGACGAAGTACGCATGCATCGAACTCGACCCACAAGCAGCCCGCATGCATCATTTTAATGATTTTGCTGCCAACCTGCTACGCTCAACAGGGCGAGTCAAGACCATGTGGACCAAACATCAAATTTTTCCAAAGTTACTTTTAAAACTTGGAAAATCTGTCAAAAAAAGGTGCCGGAACTTTGGGACAAAAAAAAAGCACTGGATATATGATTCTATTTTGATGTCCCTATTGCACACTGCAGATCAAGAAGCTCATTTCAAGATTTAAAGTATCAAGTATCAAGACCAGTCCAGATATTTTCCCCCATCCACTTTCCATTCTGACCTATGAGGAGAGCTAGAGTTTGGACTCGGAGGAACAGAAGGAAATCTCTCTTTCACCTCACCCCTGAGCTGAGCTGCTCTCTATGGGATGCCTGGTTCAAGCATAGCGATGAAGGGGAAATTAAACCAATTTCAGGCTAACATCATCTCGCATTTAGGAGCCATGCTCACAGAAGAAAAACACCATTTACCTTTAACAAAGAGAGTCACGTACCTGTATGCAAATAAAGCAATGACCCTTTTGGAGCCAATCAACACACCTCCATGTCCCCTTTTGAATTTTGTGCTGTTGCGATTGGACAGAACTTTGTATAAAATGCAGCCAACCCCCCCCCCAGGTGTGGCTTTTCCCCAGTACTCTGCTGCCCATGTGCCTGCAGATTGACCACCCAACTGCTTTACTCAGCCAAATAAAGAGTTGCTTTCCTGTTCCTGAAGCCTCTGTCTGAGTCTCTGCCTTGGCCTTTGAGAGCCTCAGATTTCTTCTGCCAGTAGGAACCTTACATTGGGATTCTGTTTTTTCCTCTCTCCATTCAGAGATAATTCCACCATTGTTTCTCCACACTAAAATTTACTGCTGGGATGAAAGCATCCCAGTTAAGAACATAGGAATTGATGGATATAGAAAATATATCTCATTCTCATTCATGAATTCATGCCAGGAACTAAAAAAAAATATAAATGAAATAATCTATTAGTTGGGTGGTTGATTGCTTTAGTTATTCATTTGTTTATAAAATTATAAAATTTATAAAACTCATAGTGTCTGTCTCTCAGTGGCTTACAATTAAAAGAAACAATACAAAACAGGAAAAGAATCAAAGTAATCCCCCTAAACAACAAAAAGTAAACAATAAAGATACATTATTATTATCTAAAAGACAATCAACCTTCACTCTGTCCAACTCTTGGAGAAAATAACCTGGTCTTTAACAGCTTCTGAATATCATCCACGCAGGAGCCATTTTGAATCAGTCTAAACCAGGGATATCAAACTCGCAACGTCACATGATGTGTCATGACGTATCACGATGTTTTTTTCCATTGCCGGCAATGGGTGGGCGCGGTTTTGCCATGATGCATCCAGCCCGCGGGCTGGCAGTTTGACACCCCTGCTCTAAACTCTTAGGCCAATGCCAAATCTAGAACATAAAAGAGATAATAGTACCTTTTAGCTCTCTGGGTACTAAGATAGAGGAAGCAGACCATCAAATATAAATATTAAATATTAAATGCTAAAAGACAAGCACGTAAAATTGAAGTGGTGCTAGATTTACCAACTAGGGGAGTGACTTTCAACTAATATTGTATGATCCAAAATATTTTGGGTTTTTTTCTATTAATATTTTTGTTAATATTTTGAAAAAAAAATTGTGATTGAGTGTACTAAAACTGTTATCATTGAATGGAAGTTAAATGTTATTTTCATTGACATGTTCATACCTGCAGAGCATCAACCAAGTTTTATTGGAAATTTGTACCTTTCCTTTTCACCATTGAGGGCATCAACCAGAAGGGCCACCTCTTACCCAACATCACATTGGGTTATAGTATCTATGAAAAATTTTTCAAGATAGAAATGACTACAGATCCTTTATTGGACCTGCTCTCAGATGGGGTGGCCAATGTGCCCAATTACAGGTGTGGAAGACAGAAAAACACAGTGGCTGTTCTGGAAGAGTCTGAGGCTGGCATCTCCATCCAGATTTCTACCATGTTGAGTACCTACAAAGTCCCTCAGGTGGGTCTTTCTTAGTTTTCTTTCATGCAATTTTCTATCAGTGTTCCTCTGTTGTAAATTACAAGCAGAGCTTGATTATGGTAATGAGAAGAACTGCATTTCTTGTTATATAGCGGCCTATTTAAATATTTATTTTTAATCATTTTCTTAAATTTTGTATTGTATTGTATTAGTTGTTTTTAACTGGCTGTAAGCCGCCCTGAGTCCTCCGGGAGAAGGGCGGGGTATAAATATAATAAAATTCAAATTCAAATTCAAATATTTAAAATACCATCTTCCATTCCTTTCAGATCAGTTATAGTTTTGCTTCCAAGATTCTGGGGGATAAAACTCAGCTTCCTTTCTTCTACCCAATGCTCCCTGCTGAAGGAGTCCAGTACCCAGGGATGATCCAGCTACTTCTCCATTTCAGGTGGACCTTGGTTGGTCTCATTGCTCCAGAAACTGACCAGGGGGAGAAGTTCATGAGGACCATGTCTTCTATGATGTTAAAGAATGGCATTTGTGCAGTCATATATCAAAGATTTACGTTGAATGTTGCTGATCTTCGTTTAAAATTAAAAGAATATTATAAATGGAGAAAAGTCAATGTCTTTGTTTATGGTTCAGAGACTAGTTCATTCACAATAGGGATGGTAGTTATTGACACAGTACTTACACATCTTCCGGGAAGTGTTGTAGATAAAGTCTGGATCACCACATCTCAGTGGGATCTCAGTCTTGAGTTTATGTTTAGTGTGAATTCCTTGAAACACATTGGTGGCATTTTTTCCTTTGTGATAAAGAAAAGGAAATGGGCAAACTACAATGCTTTTGAAATCTTTGTTAACTTCCTATTTAACTTTTTGGAGAAAACCTTTACATGTTCATCCACTAAGGATGCCTTTTCAATAAAAATCTGGAGACGGTGCAGACAGAGAGAAGTTCTGGTGTCTCTGAGGAAGAAGGAGATTGATCGGATCCTGACCATGGATAGCTATCTCATCTACAATAGCATCTGGGCTATTGGAAGAGCCTTAAATTCAGCTTATGTATCCACATCAAAGAGATCAGTGAAGAACAGAGATATGAAGATGGAAGCTCCAAAGCTGAAGGCTTGGCAGGTATTTCCTTTCCATTAGTCACATTTCCTTGTAATATGGGAATTAGTTTGATAAGTGGATGACTTGGTTATTTATTCTGAAAAAATAAATCACCCAGAAACTCAAATCCAGTATAATTACATTTCCTTCATCTTCCTTTCTATTCTATCTTATCCTAACTGCCTCCCCCCAAATATTCTCTTGTTTTAATTTTATGTTTTTCAAAGTGAATGCATTGAGATCTTGGTTGTTCAGCCATTCTTTTTTTTCAAATTGATGAAGTTGGTACAAACAAGAAGCAAACTTGGGGTCACATATTAGCCTGTTAGAGACAATCAAATAATTCTCTCCATTCAAAAAGGAACATATGGTAGCATGAAGAGAGATATTGTTAACCAATATATTTCAGTCATGATGCTTGCAGTGTGAAGTCACTGATAGTGAAGCTATCTACTTTACTTGGGCAACTATGGATACAACACAAGAGAAAAATCTAACAACAACCCTCAGGTTAAAGGAAAATCTGAATGGATGACATTTCATTCATCTATGTTTTTAGATTAATTAAACATGAATTAAAAATACTTTTTTGTCTTTAAAGAAGTTGTATATCATCATCGCTGTGATAAAGCAGTGGGAACAGAAACATGACCATATGCTTCACTTATCTCCTTTACAATCATTATTCTGATTTACATATTTAAATATTAAGTTAGCAGCTGTTATTATTCCTCTGCTTATTGATATTCTTCTACCCAAGTTTGAGCAACTTGTTTTTTTGAGCAAAGAGACAGAAATGTTCTGATCCCTCCCAGCATAGACAAAGGGGTCTTTTCAAAGACCTTTCTAAACTCTTATTTATCTTATCTTTACAGCTTCACCCCTTCCTTCAAAGCTCCCAGTTTTACAATAATTCCATAGAAGGGGTATATTTGGATGAGAAAGGAGATCTTACAGCTGACCTGGACATTGTGAACTGGATTGTTTCCCCAAATAATTCTGTCAAGAGATTGAAGTCTGGGACTCTAGAAAAACAGGAATCCCAGGATTTTAAATTATCCATTGACCTGAAGAGTATTGCACAGGTGGAAGTGCTAAGCAAGGTGGGACTAATATTTATTTTATTCCACTGAAGGTGGCTGTAACAGGAATACTGTCAAGGTTCTGACTGACAAAGCCAGTTGAGTAAGCACTGCTGAGATGATCCAATCTTTTAATGCAAAACTTTATAGAGTACATCATTTTGGCATGGATGAAAGCAAAACCATCTGATTAATTCTCTCTCAAATCACTATATTAAAAGTATAGAAATCTCCCTTCCCCAATGAGGCAGGTCACATTATCCAATTGAGTGTCACAATATTGTTATGAGAAAATGCCTTTAGATTTTGGCAAACACCTGTTGAATCATCCTTGGTTCTCACGGGCTGACTTCTTGATATCTGGAGCCTGCATTCTATTTCCCCTTTCCCTCCCACCAAGTTTTTTGGCAAGCTGAGAAGCAATAATGGTTAAAACAACATAAGCATGCTTCAAATTTGACAAATACACTTTTGGGATGGATAGAGAATTGCCTTCAATGCCTTTGAGTTTTCATATCAGCCAATAAGACTCTCAAGAGTGAAAACTTCTTTATTGTCTATTCAGAGAACCACGAACAATAATCTTCAATTTTCATACAAACTATTCACTGAGTCTATGGTAAGGGTGATAGACTGAGGGAGTCATTCAAATAATGTAGTTAGCTAGCTAAAGCAAAGTATCCAGGCAATATATCCCCGAGCAATTAAATATCTAAGTTTAAAACAAAAGCCTAAATTTGTAATGTGTATGAAACATTAAAAGGAATGTGAAACAGAGGAGGAATATGCAATTCAATCTTTTAGATCTTCCTCACATTTCCTATTGGCTTCTAATTAGTCAAAGCTAAATCTTGGACTAAACCCTCTGCCATTTTTCTGAAAATAAGTTCATTTTATGGCTATGTTATATATGCCACCCATCTCATTATCCAGAGTTTTATTTCCTTTTATCTCCTCAGCCCTTGCCTCCTTCTACATGTGTGGAAAGCTGCCAGCCTGGATTCATGAAGGTGGCTCAGGAAGAGAAGCCCATCTGCTGCTATGACTGTCATCCTTGTGCAGAAGGAACCATCTCCACCATGGAAGGTGGGTGACTCCAGAGGAAAGGGGAAGACTTTCAGCAAGACCATAGAACTGGGCATTGTTCAGGCATTTTTAACTAAAGAGTGACAAAGAGTTTCCCCTTCTAACTGGAGTCACTTCAAATACTATAAAAATGAGCCTTGTCTTTTCATCCTCACTCAGGAGACAGAAGCCATTTGTTCTTGCTTTCTTGGCTTGGTGGGAGGAAAACGAAACAATGGAATATACCTATGGAGATTTTCAGTCAGCTAAGTTAATGACTTGCTAAAATAATGCAAATGACCAGCTGTCTGCAAGGAATATAAATCCTTCCATTCACCACTCTCCAGTCAGAGCTGAAGAAGCTTCTTGAATGAGAAGCGAAACGTCTTCAGAGAAAAACCAGAAAGTCCAGTTGCCTCTTAAAAAGGCACCTTTGGGAGAATGGAATAGACCAGCCAGATAACTGCTATCCAGAAATAAATCCTGACCATTTCTTTGGTCCAGATGTAGGGGGACATTCATATTTGCAGGGGCCTTGATTTCAACATTTTATTTCTTCCTGTGATTCACCTAGTCCACTACCAGGAAACCCAATCTCTACATGGGTCATTGGTGGGAGGACTGTGGAGTGCTTTGGATTGCATCTCTTATATAAGGTTCATGGAATCTCCTTGAATGATGCAATCTTTAAAAACAGTCACCTCTCATCTTGGGAACATGTGGTAGAGAATCTCATTTGCCTTTGTAACTTATCCTTCTGCTTAATACTACTTAAATTTATCAACCATTGCTGCACACTACCTTTCTTCAAACACATTGATCCAATGTGTTTCACTCCAATGATACATATGATGGAAAAACCTTTATGCAGATATTAATCTGCCTGAGCAGGTGGTTGGACTTGATGACCTCCAAGGTCCCTTCCAACATTATTATTATTATTATTATTATTATTATTATTATTATTATTATTATTATTATTATTATTATTATTATTATTATTATTATTATTATTATTATTATTATTATTATTATTATTATTATTATCTTTCTCTTTTCAGATGCTGAAAAATGCATAAAATGTACAGTAGATCAGCATCCAAACATTAACCAAGATGAATGTATACCTAAGACTGAAACTTTCCTATCCTATCGAGAAAATTTGGGGATCATTCTAGCTTCCGTTGCAATGTTCCTGTGTTTAGTAACATCTTTTGTCTTGGGAATCTTCATTAAATGGCGAGAAACACCCATAGTCAAAGCCAACAATCGGGACCTTTCCTACATCCTCCTGGTCTCCCTCCTGCTTTCATTCTTGACATCGTTCTTATTCATTGGCCAGCCAAGAAGAGCCACTTGCCTTCTCCAACAAACAACCTTTAGCAACATTTTCTCAGTTGCCATTTCTACAGTCTTGGCCAAAACAGTCACTGTTGTATTAGCATTCTTTGCCACAAAACCAGGGAATAATTTACAGAGATGGCTAGGGAAGACCTTGGCCAATTCTATCATCCTTTCATGTTCTGGTTTCCAAGTTGTCCTCTGCAGCATCTGGTTGGACACTTCTCCCCCATTCCCTGAGTCAGACATGCACTCACAATCTGCAGAGATCATCCTGCAATGCAATCAAGGCTCTGTTGCCATGTTCTACCTTGCCCTTGGCTACATGGGTTTCCTGGCTATTATCTGCCTCACAGTGGCTTTCCTGGCCAGGAATCTCCCTGGGGCTTTCAATGAAGCCAAGCTCATCACTTTCAGCATGCTGGTCTTCTGCAGCGTCTGGATCTCCTTTGTACCTACCTATATGAGCACCAAAGGGAAGTATACAGTGGCTGTGCAGATCTTCTCCATCTTGGCCTCAAGTACTGGCATGCTATGCTGCATCTTCATCCCCAAATGCTACATTGTTTTTTTAAGACCAGACCTGAATACAAAAGAACATTTGATGTCAAAATAACAGACTTTGCCCCAAATTATTATTTTAAAAATCGTATTTGCTACCTTAATGTTTCTTTAAAAGCGCACATACTCCAAGAAACCTGTTTTTGTTCTGTTTTGTTGTGAATCATAATAAAAACACCACATTTAATAAATAAATATATTTGCCCTTCTTTCCTTATCTAAGTATTTAGAAAACTGTATTAGGAGTCTCTGTCTCTCTCCAAATCAGGGTTTATTTTATTTATTTATTTATCTATTTATCTATTTATCTATTTGTTTATTTGTTTATTTGTTTATTTGTTTATTTGTTTATTTGTTTATTTGTTTATTTGTTTATTTGTTTATTTGTTTATTTGTTTATTTGTTTATTTGTTTATTTGTTTATTTGTTTATTTGTTTATTTGTTTATTTGTTTATTTGTTTATTTGTTTATTTGTTTAATTAATTAATTTTGTTGAGTACTGCCAGCATGAACTGCTACTGCAAACTGTCAAAACGTTCCTCATCCAAAAAGATCTTCAATGTAATCTACAAAATCAACTGTAATGATTGCAAGAATTTTACATGAGACAAACATCACATCAGTTGAAAACCAGTATCCACACCTGCTGGCAGTCAAATGCCACAATCTCAAATCCTTAATCTCTACCCATACCAACACCAAACAACACCAGTTTGATTAGGGCAACACTAAAATCATTGGCCATGCTACCATCCACTACAGTGTGAGTTCATCAAAGCCTGACACTCCACAAGCAATTCCATCAACAGACATGTTGACCTACAACCAGCCTATGAACCCCTTAGAATCCAAATCAACCACACAGCCAACCAGAGACAGCACTGACCCTCAACCTACCCATGCAAGCCTCCCCCACACCAGCAGTTCACCTCCCGGTGACCCTGACTTGATGTAACCTCCCAATCCAAGACTCATCACAAGATCCTCACTGATGACTCACACCTGACCTATCACAAGACCCCCCCACTTGACACACCCACACTTGAAGCCCTTAGAAACAGAAGAACACTGACATCCCCTAAACTCCACTGAAGATATTTCCTACATCCCCTAAACTCCACTGAAGATGTTACCTAGTCTGGTAACTAAACATTTGGAAACCAAAAGCTCAGAGAATGAACCTTCACCCTCATCCTACACCCAAGCTACAGATATTCGCCACTCCTCCTCCTCCTCCTTCCCCTTCTCCTTCCCCTTCTCCTTCCCCCTTCTCCTCTTCAACCTGCTGTTTCCTTTATGGTTCTTTTGGGGATAAACCACGTTGTTCAATACAGTATGTACACTATCTCAAACAGATTTATTCCATCCATCAGCTAACATTGTGAAAATCTTGTAGTCTACATTCATCAAGAAAATTAGTCTATGATGGTAGTTTATTTGAATTTAATATTGAGTTATCAGCCCATCTAAGTCTAGTGCATATAATAATAATAATAATAATAATAATAATAATAATAATAATAATAATAATAATAATAATAATAATAATAATAATAATAATAATAATAATAATAATAATAATAATAATAAAGTTGGAAGGGATCTTGGAGGTCATCGAGTCCAACCCCCTGCTCAGGCAGGAACCCTACACCATTTCAGACAAATGGCTGTCCAGTCTCTNTCACCACTTCTGGAGGCAGGTTGTTCCATTGGTTAATTGTTCTAACTGTCAGGAAGTTTCTCCTTAGTTCTAAGTTGCTTCTCTCCTTGATCAGTTTCCACCCGTTGCTTCTCGTCCTGCCTTCAGGCGCCTTGGAGAATAGCTTGACTCCCTCTTCTTTGTGGCAGCCCCTGAGATATTGGAACACTGCTATCATGTCTCCCCTTGTCCTTCTCTTCGTTAAACTAGACATACCCAATTCCAGCAACCATTCCTCATATGTTTTAGCCTCCAGTCCCCTAATCATCTTTGTTGCTCTTCTCTGTACTCTTTCTAGAGTCTCAGCATCTTTTTTACACCGTGGTGACCAAAGCTGGATGCAGTATTCCAAGTGTGGCCTTACTAAGGCATTGTAAAGTGGTATTAATACTTCACGTGATCTTGATTCTATCCCTCTGTTAATGCAGCCCAGCACTGTGTTGGCTTTTTTGGCAGCTGCAGCACACTGCTGGCTCATATTTAAGTGATTGAGATGTACTTCGGCTATGTTGAACATTAAAGCCTTTACTAACTGAATTTTCAATGTATTTATTTAATTTCTTGATTCAATATTAATCCTAGCACATAATTGTTAAAATATTTAAAAAGAATATTTAAAAAGAAAGTTATACTCTTATTAAGGCTCAGAAAACATGTCTCATTTTGTTTTCTTTAAGATTTGTTGGCTTTCTTACTCTCCACTATTCACTGGTCTTGAAAGCAGCTTAGCCAGGGAAGTAGAGATAAGGTATATATTCTGAGGATAGCTTTTCATTAGAGTCTCAGAACATTTAAGTGGTCCTGGCATGGGAGGAAGAAATTTTCTTACTTAATTAACTATCAAGATTCTCAGTCATCCGGGTCACGTCCCAAAGATGCTTTTTCATGAGGCATGTTTTTCTTTGAAGATGTTTTACTTCTCATTCAAGAAGCTTCTTCAGCTCTGAAGAAGTCCAGTTGCCTCGTGAAAAAGCATCTTTGGGATGTGGTGGCACAATGGTTAGAATACAGTATTTCAGGTAATTCTGCTGACTGCTGGCTGCCAGAAGTTCAGCAGCTTGATCCTGACCGGCTCAAGGTTGACTCAGCCTTCTATCCTTCCGAGGTTGATAAAACGAGGACCCAAAATGTTGGGGGCAATAGGCTGACTCTGTAAACTGCTTATAGAGAACTGTAAAACACTGTGAAGTGTTATATAAGTCTAAGTGCTATTGCTGTTGCCATTATTTAACTGAGTTTCAAACCTTTTCCAGCCTAAAGAGAGTGCTACCCAAATAAAACTGGCTATGTTGTAGGGTAGCTGCCAATCCCTAACTAACACTAATTGCAGTGCAGAGATTGGACCTATCTGAGAATACCCAGGAAAGCACTCAGATTTTGGGGAGCAAAAAAAATTAAATATGGCTGGATTGGCAAATTCTATTTTTCCCCCTTTCAACCGCATCTACATGGAGGGAAGTGTGTAGTGGGGTGCCCCAGGGCTCTGTTCTAGGCCCAGTGCTCTTCAACATCTTCATCAATGATTTGGACGAGGGGAGAGATGGAGAACTCATCAAATTTGCAGACGACACCAAGCTGGCAGGAATAGCCAACACTCCAGAAGACAGGCTTAAGATACGGTAGGACCTGGACAGACTTGAACACTGGGCACTATCTAACAAAATGAAATTCAATGGTAAAAAAAGTAAGGTTCTACATTTAGGCAAGAAAAACCAAATGTATAGGTATAGTATAGGGGGTACCTTGCTCAATAGTAGTAACTGTGAGAGGGATCTTGGAGTCCTAGTGGACAATCACTTAAATATGAGTCAGCAGTGTGCTGCAGCTGCCAAAAAAGCCAACACAGTGCTGGGCTGCAGTAACAGAGGGATAGAATCAAGATCACGTGAAGTATTAATACCACTTTACAATGTAAGGCCACACTTGGAATACTGCATCCAGTTTTGGTCACCACGATGTAAAAAAGATGCTGAGACTCTAGAAAGAGTACAGAGAAGAGCAACAAAGATGATTAGGGGACTGGAGGCTAAAACATATAAGGAACAGTTGTTGGAATTGGGTAAGTCTAGTTTAACGAAGAGAAGGACGAGGGGTGACATGATAGCAGTATTCCAATATCTCAGAGGCTGCCATAAAGAAAAGGGAGTCAAGCTATTCTCCAAGGCTCCTGAAGGCAGGACAAGGAGCAATGGATGGAAACTGATCAAGAAAAGAAGCAACTTAGAACTAAGGAGAAACTTCCTGACAGTTAGAACAATTATCCAGTGGAACAACCTGCCTCCAGAAGCTGTGAATGCTCCAACACTGGAAGTTTTTAAGAAGAGACTGGACAGCCATTTGTCCAAAATGGTATAGGGTTTCCTGCCTGAGCAGGGGATTGGACTCGATGACCTCCAAGGTCTCTTTCAACTTGATGATGATGATGATGATGATGTTTGGGGGTGGGGGGCTTCAATACACATATGTGCATGCTTCACAAAGCTTGGCTTTAAGCCCAGCCTGATGTGCAATCACCCTTACAAAAAAAACCCTGCTTGTCTTTTTCTAATCCCTTTGGCAGAGCAGGGTATTATTTTACAATAGGCTGATCATGTTTACAGTTGAAGAAGAAGATGCTTGTAAGAAAGTCACTTGAACTGGATTGGGATTCCTGTATGAAGAAGGCTACAAAGTTAATCAAAATAAATTAGACTCAAGTTAAATTATTATACAAGAACTTTCATTTGTTTCTGAGTGAAACAAACATAGAGTTTTAACTCAACAACATGGGGAATCAAAGAATCAAAGTGATGGGTGGCTAGATACAACATGATGTCATTGTATGTGTACCAAATGAAGTATAAGTCCTTCTCAGTCATGGACACATCTTGCCCCTTTCTTCATTATCCCTTACAGAAGGTGCATGCAACTTCTGTAGAATCCAACATTATTCTTAAAAATCCAGGTGACTTTTTCCTGTCTCTCACCACATAGTACTCAATTTTTTTCACTGTGGGAAGAATCCAGAGAAAAATATTTTTGGGAATATTAAAAAGGCAGAATATATTTCTCCAAAGGATTTTAAAGGCAGAAACCAACCCCCCCCCACAAGTCTCTCTGCCCCAAACAGAAACTAGGTCTGCAGAAATGCAGATGTGATAATCTTGTCACAAATATCGGAGTCAGGACGCTGGGATTAGAAAGAAAGATCCCTAGAATCAACAATCCCTCACACCAAAAATCCAACAGCCACAGCCTCAGGGAAGCAGGATATGACCTTTGGGACATAATAGGATTAACCCACCATCAGGCACACTCAGACTCAGGTCAAAGTTCATGCCACAGGAACAACTCCAAACAAAAGCCCAAGAAAGTATAAAAACCCACTCCCTACTATATATGCTCTCTCTGTCTCTTTTCCAGAGTCATCTTTCTATCTGGCTCTCCTCTTCAATAAACTACAACCTTCTTTCTAAAGCAGTCTCCATGTTGTTTATTCCTGGCATAGACTGGACCCTGATGAAGACTTTTCATTCAACATCACAATAGCAGAAAAAAAGGAATTGGGGATTTTAAAGATGTCCCCAGCTTTCATATGGGCTTTAAATTTTATTGTGATGAAACTACTATAACAGAGTAGCAAAATTGGAAGGTATCTGGGGAGGGGGGTTCTTCTGGTTCACCTGACATACACCCAAACACCATATGGATGAAAGTCAGATGATACAAGATGCATATCACCCACGGACCTGAAAAACTAAGCCCAACAATTGACCATTAGCTTCTCCTTCAAATGTCTTCCATGTTGAAGATAATAATTATCTATGAAGACATAATATTCTCAGATTTAATGAGCAGATTAAAGACAAAGCTAGAACAACTAAACAAAGGCCCAGTGATACCATGGCTGTATGTGCCACTTTCTGGGAGAAGAAAATCTGAGGGACATTAAGAAGAAAGATGAAATTTGAAACACTTATACAAAATCAATTGTATTAGGACACACATATAAACTCTTACTCAGATACAACAGTTACAAGAAATTAAAAGGCATGTATGCTAAAATGGGTGCAGAATTTCAAAGAAACAGTTACAATAATTTATTGGGAAGAGTTATAGATCAAATCCATAGCATTTATCTCAAACTACAACTTAGAAAATCATTTTGCCACTTATTTATTTTTCACATTATCCAATCTCCCATATACTTCAAAAATAGTGGACATGTAACAAAACAAGTACTGGAAACATGTTTATATGCCTGTGTATATCACAATGCAGAAAAGTTTGGAAAATAAATTTAAAATGAAACCAATTTTTTTTACTAAGTATAAGCCCAGAAATCATCAACAAGGAATATCATAATTTACTAAAATACCTGCTCAAGGCAGCAGGATTAAATTTTGTCCAACATTGCAATACAATTGTAACAATATCTGAATATATTATATATGAGTATCTTCTTTATCGCTATCTTTAAAGGTTTAAATTATCTAAATAGAGCATCAAATATCCCTGCTATATACCACGTACGTACCAGTGTATCAGAATTATATAATCTACTACATATAAAATAATAAAAGATAAAAGAAAGGCATTAAGACAAAAAAAATGATGTAGTTAAAATCAATTTTTTTAAAGTGGTGAATGCTGTTTATTAAAATTAGAAACTGACATTTTTAGGAACCACCTATCCAAATTAAATTTATTTTGACATCACATGAAGTTTTGTATTCAAATCGGGTCTTAGGTAAATAATGTAGCACTTGGGGAAAAATATAAAGCTCACCAGACCAGCACTGGAGGCTAAAATGGAGAAGACCTGCACGGCTACCATGTATTTCCCTTTAGTGCTCAGGTAAGTGGGGACAAAGGAGACCCAAACACTGCAAAAGACCAGCATGCTGAAAGTGATCAGCTTGGCTTCATTGAATGCCCCAGGCAGATTCCTGGCCAGGAAAGCCACTGTGAAGCAGATAGCAGCCAGGAAGCCCATGTAACCAAGGGCAGAATAAAACATGGAGATAGACCCTTCATTACATTGCAGAATGATCTCTCTAGACTGAGAATGCATGTCAGAGTCAGGGAATGGGGAGAAAGTGCCCAACCAAATGCTGCAGAGAATAACTTGGACACCAGAACAAGAAAGGATGATGGAGTTGGCTAGGCTTTTCCCCAGCCATCTCTGCATTTTATTCCCTGGCTTAGTGGCCAAGAAGGCTAATACCACTGTGATCGTTTTGGCCAAGATTGAAGAAATGGCAATGGAGAAGATGATGCTGAAGACTGTTTGTCGGAGAAGGCAGGTTTGTTTTGTTGGCTGGCCAATGAAGAGGAAGGAGGTTAAGAAGGAAAGCAGGAGGGAGACCAGGAGGATGTAGGAAAGATCTCTGTTGTTGGCTTTGATGATTGGAGTGTCTAGGAATTTAATGAAGATTCCCAAAACAAAGGCTGTGGTTAAAAACATGAACAAGGCAATGGAAGCCAGGATGATCCCCAGAGCTTCTTTGTAAGAAAGATAATTTTTAATCTTGGGAATACAGTGAACACGTTTAATGTTTGGATACTGATCTTCTAGGCATTTGGTGCATTTTTGCGCATCTGAAAAGAGCAAGAGTAGGGTCTCCCATTAAATATGTTCTTTAACAAAATCCATTGATGGGTGAAATTATTGATGTGGTTTTGTACAGATGAAATTAATATGCTTCTTCATTTCATTCCAGCTAGAAAGGGAAACCTAATTTCCTCTTCATTTCATTTTTCTTTCCTTTCTTTTTCTTTAATACTGTATCTCTTGTTCATCAATTGATTGGAAGGGAGGGAGGGAGGGAGGGAGGAAGGAAGGAAGGTCCACTATTTTATCATTTCACTGAACTTGTTGAGAATAAAAGTCTATCCTTTATAAGTGCATCAGGGGACTAATGAAATCCTCTTCACAGTGAAATGACATATAGGTGAATGACATTAACATTTAATGAGCTGTGGTAGCACAGTGGTTAGAATGCAGTTTTGCAGGCTAATTCTGCTCACTGCTGGGAGTTCAATCCTTACTGACTCAAGGTTGATTCAGCCTTCCATCCTTCCAAGGTTGGTAAAATGAGGACCCAGATTGTTGGAGGCAATATGCTGATTCTGTGTAAAGACTATGAAAGGGTATATAAATTTATTGCTATCGCTATTTAATACAGCTTCTGTCAGCCATGGAGCAAGAAATGTAAGATGGAGGTGATTTTCATGATGAGTTGAAGATGTCCTGTGTTACAAACAGCAAGTGGGACATTCTCCCAGGAGGACAAGAAGTAAGTTTGGCTCAGCACTGACTTTTATTTTATTTATTATTAAATTTCTATGCTGCCCATCTCTCCTGCAAGGTGATTTTGAGCAGCTTATAAATTACAGAAACAAGTGAAAAATAGTTAAAATTTAAAAATATTAAACCAAACAGATTAAAATATTATTAAAAATGTGATACAAGATTTCTTTTATGCTGATGAACACCACGTTTTTCTTGAAGTCTCTGGAGAAATGGAGAAATTCCTTTCTTTTCCTTTCCTTTCCTTTCCTCTCCTCCCCTCCCCTCCCCTCCCCTCCTCTCCTCTCCTCTCCTCTCCTCTCCTCTTCATGATTTAATCCAGGAGTTCAAATGTCAATTTTATTCATCCAATTCCTATTCAGTATTGGAATCAAAATTTAGGAATGCTTTTATCTAGATTGTGAATATTGCAAGGAGGACTAGAGAATGGAAGAGGCACAGAGAGAAGTTGCTGTGCATGAAAGATGCATTGTAAATTTAAAAAAGGCAAGATATGCCATCATCCCATAATGCTCCTATATCTTTTAATGTCCTATCCCAGTTTAATAATAATAATAATAATAATAATAATAATAATAATAATAATAATAATAATAATAATAATAATAAAACAACTGGAGCACCACTTGAACACCACTGGCATTGACAAATTCACCGTTAGTCAATTGCAAAAGGCGGTCTTACTAGGAACTGCTTCCATCCTGCGACGATATCTGTAATACCATTAAACATCCACATCTGCCTATCCCAGGTTTTAAGGATTCAATAGGTAGATAAAAATACCAAATCTAGTCTGAACATCTGGCTGACTGTGTGATGATTAATAATAATAATAATAATAATAATAATAATAATAATAATAATAATAATAATAATAATACATCAAGAAACTGCAGCTTCCTGCAATAACTCCAGCAATGTTACAAAAAACTGCGCTACTTACAACATCTTATATTTTAATGAGGTACCTGGTTGACACCTAGGATGCTGGTAGCAACCCATATCAACCATCAGTGTCAGCCAATTTGAATGTTCAGTTGACTGAGGTTCATGTTAATAATAATAATAATAATAATAATAATAATAATAATAATAATAATAATAATAATAATAATAATAATAATAATAATAATAATAATAATAATAATAATTTCATTTGCCTGTAAGCAAGAACTGGTGGGATCATAAAAAAGAGAAAGTCATATAAAATGATAAAGTTAAACTGCTCTGGGACTCCAGAATTCAAACAGACAAGCACCTGCAACATAACACCCCGGATTTAACAATTGTCAATAAGAAAGACAAAAAAGTCTGGATACTGGACGTGGCAGTGCCTGGAGACAGCAGAATAGACTAGAAAGAACTGGAGAAGATAACAAAATACAAAGATCTACAAATAGAAATAGAAAGACTGTGGCAAAAGCAAGCAAGGGTAGTACCAATAGTAATAGGCGCCTTGGGTGCAATCCCAAAACAACTGGAGCACCACTTGAACACCATTGGCATTGACAAATTCGCTATTAGTCAATTGCAAAAGGCGGCCTTACTAGGAACTGCTTCCATCCTGCGACGATATCTGTAATACCATCAAACATCACATCTGCCTATCCCAGGTCCTGGGTAAGGACTCGATAGGTAGACAAAATGCCAAATCCAGTCTGAACATCTGGCTGACTGTGCGATAATCAATAATAATAATAATAATAATAATAATAATAATAATAATAATAATAATAATAATAATAATAATAATAATAATAATAATAATAATAATAAAGTCCTGCCTTCAGGTGCTTTGGAAAATAGCTTAGAGATCATTTCTTATAGTTCACTATGACATAAATGTACACATTAAAATATATATATTTTTAAAAGCCAAGCCTATCAAAATGCCCTTTTATGGAAAAATGTTCAGGTATATGCTGTTCTCAAAACTCAGCCCTTTTCCTCTGCTGTCACCCACCTTACATGATGGAGATGGTTCCATCTGCACAAGGATGACAGTCGTAGCAGCAGATTGGTTTCCCTTCCTGAGCCACCTTCATGAATCCAGGATGGCAACTTTCCACACACCTGGAAGGAGGCAAGGGCTGAACATCCCAAAAAATGAATAATATAATTATATTATGAACGGGAAAAAAAGAATAAGGCATTGGAAATTTCCAGTTCCAATTTTAACTGCTATGTTAAAAAAAAATGGAGAACTGATTTGGCTGAATATTTCTAACTTCTTAATCTCATCTTCTAATTTTCTATAGAGATTCTCAACCATCCAGGTCATAGTTATCCCAATGATGCTTTTTTCATGAGGCAGCTGGACTTTCTTGTTTTTCTTTGAAGATGATTTACTTCTCATCTAAGAAGTCTCCTCAGGTCTGATGGGATGGTGGGGAATCTTCTAATTCTTACACACTACAATTTTTAGCTTGAAATGTAATTTTAAATATTAAATTCTACAAAAAATGTTAGATGGATGGATTATCTGCTTTGTGATGGATCAAATCTTTATCTTTTTGTACAGTACCAGACTAATGTTCTCTCTCTCTCTCTCTCTCTCTCTCTCTCTCTCTCTCTCTCTCTCTCTCTCTCTTTCACACACACACACATTCTCTCTCATTCTCTCTCTTTCATTCTCTTTCTCATTCTCTCTGTCTCACACAAATCTCTCTCATTCTCTCCCTCTTATTCTCTCTCATTCTCTCTCTCTTATTCTCTCTCTCATTCTCTCTCACACATACTTTCTCTCATTCTCTCATCCTCTCTCTCTCTCTCTCTCTCTCTCTCTCTCTCTCTCTCTCTCTCTCTCTCTCTCTCTCTCTCTCTCTCTCTCTCTCTCTCTCTCTCTCTCTCTCTCTCTCTCTCTCTCTCTCTCTCTCTCTCTCTCTCTCTCTCTCTCTCTCTCTCTCTCTCTCTCTCTCTCTCTCTCTCTCCCCTTCTGACTTCTATAGTCTCTCACAATGTCCATTACTCTGGACAGCTCACAACCACAGTAAAACAAATATTAAACCAATGTGAAAATGGAGGGCAGAACAACTCTACTCAATTTTACTTGAATATGAATATGATTGTTTATAGACATCTAAATATCAGACCAAAGAAGAAGGATGAGGGGGGACATGATAACAGTGTTCCAATATCTCAGGGACTGCCACAAAGAAGAGGGAGTCAAGCTATTTCCCAAAGCGCCTGAAGGCAGGACAAGAAGCAATGGGTGGAAACTAATCAAGGAGAGAAGCAAACTAGAACTAAGGAGAAACTTCCTGACAGTTAGAACAATTAACCAGTGGAACAACCTGCCTCCAGAAGCGGTAAATGCTCCAACACTGGAAGTTTTTAAGAAGAGACTGGACAGCCATTTGTCCGAAATGGTATAGAGTTTCCTGCCTGAGCAGGGGGTTGGACTAGATAACCTCCAAGGTCCCTTCCAACTTTACTATTACTATTACTATTACTATTACTATTACTATTACTATTACTATTACTATTACTACTACTACTACTACTACTACTACTACTACTACTACTATTATTATTATTATTATTATTATTATTATTATTATTATTATTATTATTATTATTATTATTATTATTATTATTGCCCCTGTTGGTGAAATGAGATGACAGCCCAAGCTGCTCCTCTCCCAACACTGCAAATCTCTTGGTAAGAACTTCAGGAAGAACAGAATGATGTCTTTTCCCCACCTTGTTCAGCACTTCCATGTCTTCAATAGCTTTCTGACTGATCATGAACTTGAAATCCAAGGAGCCCTGCCTTTCTATACTTCCACATTTCACTCTGCTAACAGACATATTGGTGAAAATCAACCAGTTCACAATATCCAGGTCTGCCACCAGCTCTCCATTCTTATCCACATACAATACTCCTATGGAATTATTATAAAACTCAGAACTTTGAAGGAACGAATGAAACTGGAATGGAAGATAAAATGGATAGAATTATTCAGAAAGGTCTATAGAAAGAGCATCTAGTTTGTGCTGTTGTTGGACAGAACAAAAAAAGTGAGTTTCAGATTTATTTCCCGATCTATAAACATTTAAATTATAATACTGTATCTATTAGTTTGCAGTATAATTGTGTATGAATTGGACAAACACAGGGATGGGTCAGAAACTCATTTGAACAAACTTTCCAGATAGCAATAGCAATAGCACTTAGACTTATATACCACTTCACAGTGCTTTACAGCCCTCTCTCTAAGCAGTTTACAGAGTCAACATATTGCCCCCAACAATCTGAGTCCTCATTTTACCGACCTCAGAAAGATGGAAGGCTGAGGCAACCCTGAGCCGATCAGAATTGAACTGCTGGCAGTGAGCAGAGCCAGCCTGCATTCTAACCACTGAGTCTCTGTTTTTATACCGTAAAGTAGCATTTCTGGAATCCTTGCAGATTCTCTCCTGTCTTCCCTCAAGGCTGCAATCCTGAAAGCTTCTCCACATTTCTCTCTCCCCCAAACATACTAAAAGAAAATCAAGCAGGGATATCTGAACACAAAAGGTATTAAAATATTTTATTTGAAAAGCCATTTAATAAGAAAACAAGATCCAGTTAGGGTAAAGGAGGGATGGTAATGCAAAAGAAAAGGGAAGTTAACGTTTATGTTCAATTTAATTTTTTGAATCAAGAATCAACTAATTTTTCAGAATACCTGTTCAGTTCTTATAAAATGGATTCTTAGCTTCAAGAGAAAGATAGGCAAAGAAAAAAAAATACCTGCCAAACTTCCAGCCTTGGAGCTTCCATTTTCTTGCCATCTTTATTCCTCACCCTCTTAGATCTGGATAAAAGGGCTGTATGTAAAGCCCGTGCCACAGCCCAGATTGTGTTGTAAGTGAAATAGTTGTCTATTGACAAGATACGATCAATCAGCTCCTGGGATAGAGGCTCCGGTTCTTCTTTGTCTCTGCACCGTCTCCAGATTTTCACTGAAAAGTCATCACTGGAGTAAGAACATGTAAAGGAGCTCTCTGAAAAGTGTTTCATTGTAGAGTAAAAGTAACGAGTCACATCATAGTTGTTTGTTTGTTTTGTTTTCATAAGAAAGGAAAAAATGCTATGGATGAGTTCAATGCGAGCAGCAATTTCTGTCAAATATAAGTGAAAGTCCCCCATGACAGTTGCCATCAGGACCTTGCCTTTAGCATGTCCCTTAAAATTTTGAATGGCTTTATGTATAATTAATATCCCAATAAATATTGAGTCCAAGTCTGCAAAATAAAGAAAGACATTCACTTGTCTCCAACTGTGATACGCATCAGAAAGCCTAAAGATTTTCTTGCCAGTTGTGGAAAAGGTTTCTGATAAAACTGGACAAATGCCATTCTTTATTAGCATGGAAGTCATGGTCCTCAAGAACTTCTCCCCTTGATCGGTGTCTGGAGCAATCAGACCAACCAAGGTCCACCTGAAATGGAAGAGCAGCTTGACCATCCCTGGATATTGGATTCCTTCAGTGGGGAGCATTGGGTAGAAGAAAGGAAATTGTCTTTTATCAATCAAAACCTGGGAAACAAAACTGTAGCTGATCTAAAACAAAAACAAAAAGAAAGAAGATGGCATTTTATTTGACGCACATAACATTGAAAATTTAACTTTACTGGCTCTTATGTCCACTCCCCATAATGCAGACTCATTGTTCCATACATTGTTTCTCTCCCCATTTGTTTCTTCAGTGGAGAATTTTCCAAACTCCAAGAATTAGAATGCCCCCCAGTCTGGGCTGGTACTAGGGTTTGAGGGAATATGTTTGTTTGAATCTTTCTCTTCCATTGGATAACCTGAATCTTCACTTTTAGTGTGTATCATGTCCATGGCAAAATTTTGTTCTCTATTTACAGGAAGGGACCTCTGAAAGCTGCATAACTAAAACTTTTCTGCTGGAGAGTCAAACCTGTGGGATTTTGTAGGTATTTAACATGGTCGAAATCTGGGTGGAGATGCCAGTCTCAGCCTCTTCAAGAATGGCTAGTGTGTTTCTTTGCCTTCCACAGCTGTAGTTGGGAACATTGGCTTCTCCATCTGAAAGCAGGTCCAGCAGAGCATCTGAAGTCATTCGTAGATTGAAATAATTTTCATAGATATTGTAACCCAGGGTGACATTGGATAAGAGATGGGGATCCCTGTTGATCTCCTTGGTGGCAAAAAGGAAGGACAGCACCTTCCAGTATTCTGGACTTCCCTTCCTGGAAATATAGCAATAGCACTTAGATTGATTTATGACTGCACATTGCTTTACAGCCATCTCTAAGCGGTTTACAGAGTCAGCCTATTGCCCCCAACAATCTGGGTCCTCATTTTACCAACCTCGGAAGAATGGAAGGCTGAGTCAATCTTGAACCGGTCAGAATCAAACTCCTGGCAGTTGGCAGAATTAGCCTGTAATACTGCATTTTAACCACTGCGTCACTAAGACACTTCTAATATATATTTATAATATAAATGCATTAGAACATTCAACGAAAACAATTTCATTTAGCCTTTGTTTACATAAATATTTTTCATCCACCTAAGCCCAAGTATTCTCAATGGACTGCCATCTTCCTAATAAAACAAATTTACATAAAAACAAACAAAACAAAAACAAAAACCACAAACTACATTAAAAAAATGTATTACCATCAATTACAAAGGCACAATTCCAGTTTATTGCAGAAGTTACTTTCCGAAGTTCTTAATACTTAGAAGTTTAATTTCTTCTTCAATATTAATGATGGAATCATTAAATCATAAAGTTGGAAAGAGCCATTCACAGTACCAAGTTCAGTAATACGTATACAAATGTACACAGATAGTGAGCATCTGAGACTGTTAACAAAGCCCATAAGTCATAAATTTCTGTACATGTTGAGATTTTGAAATCTCCTGAGCAGAATTCTTATTTTCAATGTGGGGAAAAAATTTATCCATCTTGCAGTCCATTTTGACTTCTTTATGGGACAAGAGCCACCACTTTCTTTTTTACAGCTACAGTGTAGCATTACTCAAAGGATATATCAGAGCATGCACAGTCTTATTGCACTGAGATAACCCGGGAATAAACACAGTAAACAGTGGTCTATATTAAATGGTGGTTTATATAACATTATCTACAATATCATACATCAGGAACAATATACATACACGTGGTAATACAGCAAGGATCCAACACACAGCAGTTACAGCAATAAAATGGAAGAGAGAGAGAGAGACACTCCAGCAAAGCCTTCCTTTTTTTACTCAGGCTCTTAAAGGGACACAGACCCTGCTGAGTCATTCCCATCATTGCATCATACATCTTACATTACATCAGCTGGTTAGCCTTTAAATCATTACCCTGACAGGATGTTAAGAAAACCCTTATGTAAAAAATAAATAAATAACAAAAGTAGGAAATCAAGCAGACAACACCTTATAAGACTGGAAGGTTAAAAACAGAGTGGCTGCAGAGCAGGGCTGGAAAAATCACTTACTGTAATAACTGAGTTGAAGGAGTTGTGTTGAAGCTTAATGGGTGAAATCTAGCTCTGGTTGTAGAGATGATGCCACCAATTAAAAGCTTTCCTGTCCTGTAATGATTCAGTGGATTCACTCCATCCCTATTCAGAGTCAAGATGCATTTAGCTTTGAGTGTCCCACAGACTCCCTGGGGCCAAAAAAGCAGCACAAGAAGAAGCAAAATCAGCAACATGACTTGTGTTCCTGATTGAGCTTCCTGCATTGTGCCTGCCTTGAACAGCAGTCCAAAGCAAGAAGAAAACAAAACCTTCTTCGGAGACAGAAGCTTTAGGATCTTTCCATAGTCCTGCCAAGTGTCACACCTTGAGGAAAGGGGTCTAAGTGCAGCCCCTGATTGCTCTAAACCCCACCCCGTCTCTCTTTCTCCAGACTCTTTTATGCACCCATGTCTTTCTGATGCCTTGAACTCAATCAACAAAGCTTTACTGTGGTTTTGAGATAAAAACATGTTATTGGTTTCTTGTTTTCAAATCTTCTGAAAATGTACAGAAAAAAATCTCTGGAGATTTTGCACTAAGGGAATGAATAAATCATTATGATTTGTATAGCAACAAGGAGAAGAGACATCACCTGTCTTAGATCTGAATGAGTCAACAGGCAGGTACATAAATTTTGAGTGAATGAGAGAAGATTTGGCTTCAATCATCCATTTGCGCACAATGTTTGCATACAGTCCTGTAGCAGGAGAAATATTTATCATGGGTTTCAGTAGTCACCTATCAATATGGTTGTAGTTGTTTTTTATTTGTGGTAGACTTTGCCTATATTGTTCAAGTTAGCCAAGATGCAGAGAGTGGTGAAAATGGCCAAAAAGATCATTGGCAATTCCCTCTCTCCCATCCAGGACATAGCACAGAAGCGTTGCTTGAGCAGGGTCCGTAAGATTGTCTGGGACACTACACATCCTCTTCATGACCTGTTTTCCTTGTTACCTTCTGGGAGGAGGCTTCATGGTATCCATAGAAGAACATCCAGATTCAGCCATAGTTTCATTCCATACAGCATTAACCTTGTGAACTCTCAAGCTTCCTTCTTCCGTTATATATTCAAGATGGACAGTATTTAATATTTATTTGCTACGTATATGTAGGGGTGTGGGTCTATACATATGTTGTACATAGTATGTTTTAGGTGTGCATCATGTATGTGTTTCACTTTGAGGGCGAGCAACTAAATTTCATTTTTGATGTGTGCCGTTGTGCCCACAGTAAAAAAATGACAATAAAAGTTATCTTATCTTATCTTATCTTATCTTATCTTATCTTATCTTATCTTGTCTTGTCTTGTCTCGTCTCGTCTCGTCTCGTCTCGCCTCGCCTCGCCTCGCCTCGCCTCGCCTCGCCTCGCCTCGCCTCGCCTCGCCTCACCTTATCTTATCTTATCTTATCTTATCCTTTGAATGCATACAAGTATGGGAATGGATATGCTTCTGATCATTTATTTCTTAGAGTTGATCACACCATAGCAATGTTCTGAGAAAATAACATTGTATTCACTGCACTAACGAATAGTTAGGCTTAATGTTCTCCTATTCAGTTGTAGCAGAGCTGTCTGGAAGTGTTTGCAGGAGCTTGGCCGGGAAGGGAGAGACTGGGACAGCTGTTGCCAGTTTGGGGTATGGCTGTTGTGGACTAGGGGGAAAGACAGAAAAGGGAAGGAAGGAAAGGGGAGGGGTGGTGGTGGTTGCAGTTCACCAGGTGAAGGCAAAGAGGGGTTAGAGGTTTTAAGCTAATCCCTTCTTGTGGAGGAGGGGGAAGGAGAGAGTGAGAGAGAGAGTGAGGGGGTGGAATTTTACTGCTTTCTTTCGCAAGGGGGATATCCCAAGCAGAGGCAAGAGAGAGTGTGTGGAGAAAGAAAGTTGCTGGGGTTGTTAACCTCAGATTTTAATAAGAAAGGATAAGGGGGGAGGGGTTTGACACTGACGAAATCTGAGACTGCAAAAAACAACAGAAGAGAAGGAGAAGCTGGTCACCGTTGCTGCTGCTGTGAAGACTGGAGGCTATCCGAACTGTGATTATTGCTGCTTGTACAAGTTTTAGACATTGTGGGGAGTTGCCCTGAGGGTGGGGGGCGAGCTGTTACTGCAGCAAGCTGACTGCTTTTGTTTATATTTCTACTGCTGCCTGGAGCCAGGGGTTTTTCCCCACCCCACTTGTTTCCAAACGGTCGCTGAAGAATCATTGGCTATTGCTGCTATGGCAACCTGGGGCTGCTGGACACTACCACAGCATTGATTATTGGGGCTACGGGCTGGTCATCTTTGTTCCTGGAAACTCCTCCTTGACGACAAGAGCCTGCCACCTCCTCACTTCGTGTGAGCCTCTGTTAGAAGAGACACTTTACTAACCCCTAGAGAACACAGCTGCAGAGCTCAATGGAGGGGAACAGGGCTGGGAGGATCTGGGCTTTGGCAGCCTCTGAGAAGGTAATGCAATACATGGGGTGCTCATCCGGGATTCCCTGCCTGGCCCCTCCCCTTAGTAAGGAAGGGTTAGTCTCGTGTAGGGATATGAGCCAGGAGAACAAAATGTACTCTAATGCGGCTACCAGGTGGTGCGAAGAGCAGAATAGTCAAGTAAGGACAAGTGTGGTAATCGATGTTCCTGGTGATGTTTGGTCCTGTATGCCCATACAGGAATTGGGTGATTTGGAGATCTGTGGTAATGGGACCGAAAAATTTCCCTATGATGGATATTTACCTATATAGCTGACATTTGGGCCTTCTATTGCTGGGTATATGGAGACCTTTGATACTCTGGCTATTGTGTGCACTCATCCCCTGGGAGTTAATCAGGGTTCATTGATTGTGGGGACTAACACCAGTTTAGTTAGGTGGTTACTCACCCCAGTCATCCCCTTAGGGAATGACCTGATAGTGAGGGATGTTCATCCTGCACTGCAGATAGTATGTCAGGGTTTGGTGCGGGAGCAGTAGGCCCCTGCAGAGGGAGTTGGGCGGTTATGGAAATTGGATAGGAAAAAGAGGATAATACAACCAGGGGAAGTGGTGTGCCTGAGGGCTTCCGTTAAGGTAGATTGGGAGCAGCCTGGGCTGTATCTCATTCTTGAACCTGGGCCAAAGGGATGGAATGGTGGAGTGGAATTAATTCCAGAGGTAATCTCCACACCGGTTTTACAACAGGAAAAAGAGCGGATCTCAGTTGGGGTTTGGAATATCATGTGTCTCCCTGTATGGCTGAGGGATCGGATGTTGTTGGGGTAGGTGAGCCCAGCTACTCTGATTGATGGTAAGAGAGAGATGGAGGGGGAGGTTTCGATGGATCAGTTTTATCCCAAGAACACCCAGCTTTCTCTTGAGTGACGAGAGAGAGTGAGAGACCAGCTTTGGAAGTGGAGACATCTATTCTCAAGAGACGATTCTGATGTGGGCTGTGCTAGGAGTGCCCAACATGAAATCTGACTGAGGGAGGATAAACCCTTTAGGGAGAGATCTCAGTGGATCCCCTTAAGTGACCTAGATGATCTAGCAGAGCTGAAAAGGACTGGGGTCTTATGCTTCCCCCATGGTGGTGGTCTGGAAGAAGAACGGGACCCTAA